AGCCCAGAATCAGAAGAGCTAACCGTTCTAGCCACAGGCAAGAGCGGAACTTGAATTGCTCTGTGGTTTTAACCCCTGCTGTTCTCCAAAAATATATTTCAAAGAGAACTAGAGATGCGACTAAAATAAGTCGCTTTTCCTAATCTCGCGTTCTGCAGATTTGGAAGTGTACTTCGAGTGAGCGGATTCTATTTATTTGCTGTGGTTGAAGGAGTCGTATTTCCCTTGCAAGGCATTTCACCAATTCGGTGCCCATTCCTGAAGCATTAGAGCAAAACCTAGATTTTTTTTTTAAAAAAAAGAAACCTCCTGAGCAAATCGCAGATTTGTTGTTTTTTTTATGCAGGCGGCTTATAATCTCTATTAATGCAATAAAGTTTGCTTTTGCTTTCGTGGACTTGTATTTACTTGGAGGTAATAAAGGTTTTGTATAGAAAAAGCTGAAAGTTACATTTGAAAAAGTACTAAACTTCACTTTTAATACATGGATACGCATATACACCCATAACTATTTTGACTGATCGTTTCCTTTCCAGGATGATGCTTCCCATCACCATTGTAACCAAGTCCATCCATCCTGCCTCTGGTCATCCTCTTTCCTTCTCTCTATCCAAGCCTTATGACTTTCTTAAGGGAGTTGGGTCTTACCATAATATATCCAAAATAAGATAATTTGAGCTTGGTCATTTGCTTCTTGAATAAAAAGTTTAATTTGTTCTATCAGAACTGATAGTACAACCTCACAAATAGTTTTTCAGTTAATCCAATGGTCTAAGTTTATATGACACATCAAACCATAAACTAACTACACTGGCTGGGTTTGCACAATGTTAAAATGTCCATGGCCAACTTGTAGTTCTCAGAGTTATATAGATTCAGCCACTCCTTGTTTAGAATACTGATTTTTTATATTTTATGGCAGCTAATACACCTCTCCTCAAACAGTGTTTTCACTAGATTAAATATACTTAGGAATTTTTCATGGCTGAATTGCAAATATACTCAACTACACTTATAAAAAAGAAAAGTGTGACCATGAAATTATCTGAAATTCTAAATTAATGTAGAAATGCCTCCAACGCTGGAGGTTTTTAAGAAGAAGTTGGACAATCATTTGTCTGAAATGTTATAGGGTTTCCTGCTTGAGCAGGGGGTTGGACTAGAAGTCCTCCATGGTCCCTTCCAACTCTGTTATTCTGTTAATGGGCCACATTGTATGCACTGTGTTGAAGATCATTTAGGATGCTTACTGATGAAGAAATCTTAGTCTTACCTTCAAGATCATTCAATCACAGTACAAAATGAAAACATTGTTTAAGAAAATGGATAAGCAGATAAAACATTTGAACAAAAACTGTTTTTTTACTAATAATAATTTACTAATATTAAGCATTTTGAAATATTAGCATAGTTATACAAACACATGGCTGTAACATTAAAATTTCAAAACATGTTAACGAACTATTATTATAATCAATTTGTAGAAAACTTACCATTCCAAATATTTATCCCAAATCATTCCAGAAGAGAACATGATTCATCCTGGATCAAATACCTATATTTGGTTCTTACTACTAGCTCAGTCAATTGTTCTCTGGTTAAATATAATAGGCCCAATGTCCAAAGTTAGTCTATCTACCCCAAAAAGTCCAGATGAAATTGGACTTTGCAGTTAAATGTGATAAATCCATTCCCCAATCTCCTTTAATTTTCTTAGGGAAAGCCAATTTATCACCTGTCTAATCAGTCAAGTTTTTGTTGCTGTAAAACAGGGATGTCAAACTGCAGGCTGGATGCTTCATGCTGAAACTGCGCTCAGCTCACCCCATTGCCGGGCAATGAAAAAAAGTCATGCTACGTTGCGACATGTCACGTGATGTTCAAGTTTGACACCCCTGTTGTAAAAGAATGCAGGCTTGAACTTCAAAGAGGCATGCAGAATCAACTCAAGTTAATTCTTAATTCTGTAAGCATTAAGTCTGTAGAACCCTTATTTCTTTCCAGCAAATCTACTGCTTTCAAATTACAATCATTTTGTGAGTCTAATTTATATACAGCTAGATGCATCTGAATATTTTCCACAATAGTTATCATTTTCTTATTTTTTTAAAAAAAAAAGCTTTCAAGTAGGAATTACATATTACCAGTCTTTTTTCAAAAGTCAGCCACATTTGCTTATCTGTAATCTGATATATTGTGGCTGTGTAACTTGGCAGCAATAAATAAAATGTGATTTACATTAATTTCTATAGAATTTCATTGGGACCATGGACCTCCTAAGAAACAAGAATGAACATTTCTTAGAAAATGAGATGGTTTATAGCTCAATTTCCATACCTACTAAAATAGCTTTTTAATTTTTTCAATACTATTTAAAACTATATAGAAATTGACATGTTTGTTCAATAGAACTTACTTTTAGGTAATTCTTTCTCATCCCTTTTCTTTAAAACATTCCTCTGGTTTGGCTGACAAAAAAATGTTGAAACTGATCTCCCACATTCCTTCACCCAAAACAAGTAGTTGAATTTTGGTTTTTAACATTGTATTTAATCTATACTGTAGATAGAATTCATGTTTGGAGCACCACAGCCACGAGATCTCCCAGAAAAACCCATGGTACCAGCCATTTTTCTGCTATTCTTTCCTAGCTTTGCTTTCCTGAACATTGTGATTTTTTTTTTTTGCCATTGTTTTAAAATTCCATTTTTTTACATGTCCCATGAGTTACATCAGTGAGAGTGGACAGTATTAAATGCAAAAAGAATTTTGCTATTTTTAAAAGGGTGGAAAATAGTATTTGTAATAATGCCATATCCATGGGGAAAGAAAATTACATAGGTCTGTGCCCTGAGAAACTATCCGATATCAGTTTTGTATTCATTTGAATCAACATTTTTATTTTTATGCAATAATTTACCTTTAAAATGAAATGTCACCATAAATGTACTGAAAATACAGTAAAAGGGACAAACTAATTTTTTGGGGGCCAATTTACATTTTAGGGAGATGGGTCATGTTAAATTCAGAGGTTAATTTGATAATTAATCTGAAGCTGGGATCAACAAGTAATAAATATTATTTTACCATTTCCTAAATTGAGATCTGAATATGGGCTGCAGAATATTATGGAAATTGACATGGTCAGTTGGTAACATGGAAACATAGTGTGATCATTTTTTAAAAGACAAGTTATTCCAAATCTAGTATAGAATTTTTTTTTTCAGGTGCACCCATAACTAAGTACTCTGATAATGATTAGCTTTTTCTCCTACAGCAGGAGTATCCAACCTTGGCCACCTTAAGACTTGTAGACTTCAATTCCCAGAATTCCTCAGTCATCCAGATTGGATACCCCTGCTCTAACAGTATTCCTATGCACAATTGCCATATAGACTAGTGTTTCCATCAGAGGTAATAACAATTCTACTTTTATCGGGGGAGGCTGTTTTGTATGTTCTAAGGACTAAAATTCTGACCAACTTTTACATTAAATGAATGATTGAAATTGATGGTGTTATAATTTAAAATATGTGGAAGGCATGTTGGTTTTATTATAGAAAGTGAAATCAGAAAATTTATATTTAATGTATATTAAGATGAGATTTGTCACCTCCATTACAAGAAAGGAAAGGCTATTACTTTTAAGTAATGAAAACATCGATTATAACTCTCATCTCAATTGTGTCTGAGCTGCAAAAATCCAGGTAGCTACAAAGAGCAGGAATAGTTCTTAAGTCATGAGCTGATTTATGCAATATCACTCACAGAATAAATGATCAGTGCAAAGTCCTTTTCTTTTTGTCATTAAACTTCTTGACATTTGTTCTAAATATTTTGTTTTGGATGAGGAAGCAAATTAAATGCAGTACAGGAATTATGTGAGTAATTTAAATTGATGTTTACAATCAAATTCTATTTTTACTGGCTTTTTTTCAGTTGTGTCTATTTGTTTTATTCGATTGCTAGCTGCTTCGGGTAGAAAATCCAGACACAAATCTTATATAAAAACAATACTTCTGCTGGCAGTCACTTAAAAATAAGCACACAAAATGCTTTCATGCAATTCTTTGAAATTTAATTCTTTTTTAGTGAAGTCAGATTACAGGGTCAGACTGTAGCAAGAGATTTATATAAATGGCTGATAATTGGAAAAAGCTTCTAAAGCTACAAAAATGTAACAATAGATTATCACAGAAAACAAAGCAGGAATTCTTTAAGTTTTGCTAGTTCTGATAGTAGCACTTATGTTAGCTGTTTTCAAACAGGTGGTCTCCACCTATGTTGAATTTTCATTGCTGTAATTTCCAGCTGTCATTATTTTGGAGACACATGGAAGAAGCAATTTGGTCTGCATCATGTTGACAAAAGATGACATATGTATCTAATGCAGTTAAGAGTCAGGCTTTCCAGACAGATTCAGAGATCCTATTTAAGCTTAAATAAATGTAGGTGTATTCAACATTCTTTCTATTCAGAATGCCACTTAGCTAAAGCAAGAAACTGAAGATAAATCAGGTGGACCAGAATTAGCACAGGAGACACTGCTTTGATACTCTGTAGTTCTGGGTTTTTCAAAAAGACAAAGCAGATCTCAAAAAATGTCTTACTCTGTGTAAAGTTTTAGCCTACTCTTTTTCTCTTTTAAATTAAAACAGAGGAAATGTATCCTTTTTGGGTAATGAATTAGGGAGGGGGTAATTCCTTCAAACATTTAGACTAGAATAATAGAGTTGGAAGGGACCTTGGAGGTCTTCTAGTCCAATTCACAGCCAACCCCCTATATCATTTCAGACAAATGGTTGTCCAATCTCTTCTTAAAAACCTCCAGTGTTGGAGCATTCACAACTTCTGGAGGCAAGTTGTTCCACTGATTGTTTTGTCAGGAAATTTCTTCTTAGTTCTAGGTTGCTTCTCTCCTTGATTAGTTTCCATCCATTGCTTCTTGTCCTCCCTTCAGGTGCTTTGGAGAATAACTTGACTCCCTCTTCTTTGTGGCAACCCCTGAGATATTGGAACAATGCTATCATGTCACCCCTAGTCCTTCTTTTCATTACACCAGACATACCCAGTTCCAGCAACCATTCTTTTTATGTTTTAGTCTCCAATCCCCTGATCATCTTTGTTTCAGAAAGAAATTATTAATTATGACTGATTAAATTGCTATCCCACTTCTTAATCAACACCACAGGCCCAGATGAGGCTCACAGTCATACAACAGAGAAAATAGCTAACACTTACACTAACAACCATTTAAAAATGATAGAAATGGGAAACAACTAGGTTAAAGGAATTGTTTACAAAATGGCAGAGCACTGATGTGAAGATATGAGTTGCTGGTATTCACATTTCCCCCTTGTGTCCTTTCACTTTTAAAATGCTTTGTGAATCTTTAAGAATTACTTAGCCATTGCCCAAGAAAGGAGAATAAATGATAAGAGGATGATTCCATCATGCCACCAGCACTGTGTGTTTGGTGTATTAGGATATGTAATCATGTTTCAGATATTCTCCAAATAACTAATATTGGAAAGAGTAGTATGAACCCAAAAATGATAAATTGTGATAGGTCTACTTGGTAAATTCAGTATTCAATATTGTGGAAACTGAACTGCTTTTTTAAAGATACATGATTCTGTATCTTTATTGTGGGCTGGGGGCAAGATCCTTGCAACTCAGTTTATCCTAAGTTTACCATAATTTTCAGTAAGATTCTTTCTCCAATCAGTCTCTTCATGGAGCAGAATGTGTCAGGGACTAGACCAGCCCTCTGCAGTGGGAAGCTGGACTTGTAGAGGCATATCAGAGAGCACGGATTTAATCCAGGAATCTAACTTCCAAGTAGGCCTGAGTCATCCCTGTTCTAGCATGTAAGTTCTGGATCTTTACTCAGTTGAGTTGAGAGCTTTACTTCTCACTTTTCAAATGTCATATCAAAATTCCACACTATCCAACAGTGTGTCTATCACAAAAAAAGCAAGTTAAGGCAACATATGCACATTTGTATAAGACTTCTTCTAATTATAATTATAAAAATCTAAATTGAGTTCCTGAAGTCTGCCTTTCCCAGTATAAAATTGTTATGCCAATTTGCTTCTCTGTATTTTTTTTTACTCTTTGTCTGTGTGTTTGTGTGTATGTGAGATAGAGAATTTTGGTGGTACTTGCAGATAGGCTTGTGAGTTCAACTTTCTAAGATGGGCATTTATAAGGTCTCACAAGCATCATGTGAGTTTTCTGATGTGTGCTAAGACCAGACCTTTGTCGGAAACTCTTCCCACATTCCATGCAACGGAATGGTTTCTCTCCTGTGTGGATTCTCTGGTGGATGGTGAGGTGTGAATTGACGCTGAAGGTCTTACCACATTCATCACATTTATAAGGCCTTTCCCCTGTATGGATCCTCTGGTGAAGAATGAGGGTGGAGCTCTGGCTGAATCTTTTCCCACATACCTGGCATTCGTATGGTTTCTCTCCCGTGTGGATTCGTTGGTGTTTGGTCAAGTGGGAACTAACGGAAAAGCTCTTCCCACAATCTGTGCACTTGTATGGCTTCTCTCCTGTATGGATGCGCCGGTGGAGGACAAGTGTGGAGCTCTGGCTGAAACTTTTTCCACAATCATTGCACTCATAGGGCTTTTCACCAGTGTGAGTTCTCCGGTGAATTGTGAGATGGGAGCTGACACCGAAGCTTTTCCCACAATCAGAGCAGGGGTATTGCTTATCAGCAGAGAGGGGAGACCTCTTAGGCTGGGCAAGGGTTTGCTGAGTTTGAGCAAGGGTTTGCTGAGTTTGGGCAAGAGTTTGCTGAGTTTGGGCAAGGGTTTGCCGAGTTTGGGCAAGGGTTTGCCGAGTTTGGGCAAGACTCTCTCCACACTGGATGCAAAGACTGGGGCCAGGCCCCATATGAATTCCATGGGGTGGGATAGTGGTGTTGTCTTTTGTCACTGGAGGAAAAAGAGGTGGCTTGACCCATCCTTTCCCTGTCTCTTCACTCTGCTGCCCAGCTGGAGGTTGTCCCCCATAAGCAGAGCCCTCAGACCGCCCTTGGACTTGCTTTTGCACATCCTCAGGCCCACCTGGCTGTGAATTTGAATTCATGGTTCCTCCATCTGCCAAAAGAAAGAGAGTGAAGCCAGCAGTGGTGATGGGGAAGTTACAGCCATTCATGCTATGTTATTTTAAAGAAAGTAGTGGATACTTTACCAGGTGCAGGTTATTTTTAGTTGTATTGCCCATCCCAGGCTCTATGGAAAAACTGGATCAGAAATAATTTAAAAATACCTTTCCACTCTGCTAATGTCATCACTTAGGCTATCATATCCAAATCTCAGAAGACACAGACAGGAAGTGCTAACTCTTTTTGCCAGTTCCTGACATTTGGTAGCTAGCTAGCAGAATTCTGCTAAATTCCATCAAAATGTTTGAAATGATTCAGAAGCTATGAAATTATATAAATATACAGGGGCAAGAAATATGCTCACATTTATCTTTTCACCTATCACCACTTTGTATAATCCCAAGCTTAGTTTCTTTTAATTACTTGTAATAAACAGACATATGAAGATGATTTTACTGGAGAGACATTTTTGGACAGTGTAATGCAATTTTCTAGGTTACAGAGTCTGTCCTGCCTAATGAAGAATTCTGTTTTTCAGAGGCTTAACATTTTCTGAACGCAACAAAAACTAATGCAATTATGCCCATTCATTTTGGGATTCTCCGTTTACAATAGTCTCAATATTCTTTTTAATTTAAAAAGAACAGAAATAAAATAAAAGTCCTTACCTAGCGACAGTAGAGTCCCAAAATTGTCCTGCACAATGTCCCTGTAGACAGGTCTTTGGCATGGGTCCAGAAGGGCCCATTGTATCTCAGCAAAATACATCAGTCACTTCTGCAGAAGGCTCTGGCCTCTGAAAGAATAATTTCCCCTGCTCAGAAGCCAAAACCAACTCTGTCGGCCTATAATGAGATGGGCCTTTCAGTCATGGTACTAGCAACTATGATTTCACATCAGCTGGCCTTTGGTTTTGCCACCCTATAAAGTTTAGAACGAACAGCCCCTCCACTAGTTATTGGATTTCAACTCCAATCAACCTAGTCAGCATTACTGATTGCCAGGTACATAAGGAATTGTAGTCTGTGCCAATCCTACAACAGTCCTACTTACCTGTCTTGCTGCACATCCTAGCACACTGTTAAGGTCATCTGGAAATTCAACAGGTGAAGCTTTTCCTAGCCCTGAAAGAGCTATTAGGAGGAAAACTCCACCAACTGAATTTCTGCAGAGCATGTGGGCTGTAGTAACTCAAGCCCTTCCAGGGAGAAGTGTGTAGAGATTTCCCTACTCATCCATCCATCCTTATGATCTGCCATTCGCACGTCCTGGAAGCCTTATTGCTGTTGCTGCTTCACCCTCCTAACCTAGGTCTCTTTTATGAGTCTAAGAAGCCCTCGGATTTTCATACCGGCAAGAAAGGGGGGACTCAACCGTTGTTTGAAAGAGGCGCTGAAGAAAGTGCCATGCGTTGCCTCCTCTGGTTTGTGATAAGGGTTTTTTCCTCCTCCCTCCCCTCCCCTCCCTCCCTCACCGAGGAAGTTGCCAGGCTGGACTTTGGCCAGTGCCTATTCGCAATCACCTCGAGTTACCTAGACGACTCTAACTCCTCGAGCTGCCAACTTGGGAATCTCGCCTATCAAAAGAAGAATAAATAAAGCCGAAACTCCACGCTTCCCGATTTGGTACAATCCAGAGGCTCGCTGACGCTCGGGCTCGGTCGATTCCGAGCGGCTGCTACGAAAGCAGAAGAAGAAACAGCAACAGGACTCGCTCTCTCTGGTTCTGACCTGGGAAGTTCAGCCCCCAAAATCGTCAGCGGCAACGCGAGCTGTAGCAGCAGCGGTGGCGACAGCCAAAGAAAAGAACCGTCGCTTCACTCGCTCGCTCGCTCGCTCTCTTTTTTGACAATGGCCAGAGCCCTCTAGCGGCATCACCTCTGCCTTGCACGCGGAACAAGCCCGGGGTGGCGGGGGGGGGCGAAAGCCGGCCGGAAGCTTTCCGCCCAAGAAGGATACCCTCCCTTCAAGACGTGGGGAGCGGTTTCGAGGTGCCTATTCAAACTTTGAATAAAGCGAGATGTAAAGAGGTTGCATTTTGTGAGGCCCTCATGAGGGAGTCCAGTCATTGGTTGTATCGATAGAACACGATCGATCAATCATCACAGTATGTTAATTAAAGGGGCTGGGCTGTTTATTCACTCCCTACACTTTAACCAAAGTACTTGAGTTTCAACTTCAGGATCTGGCCTTCTAAAGAGCAGTCGGGGTTGATCTCTTCTAGGACTGACCGGTTTGAACGCCTTGCAGTCCAAGGGACTCGCAGGAGTCTTCTCCAGCACCATAGTTCAAAGGCCACCTAATGAGAAGGAAGGATTCACTGGAGAAGAGCCTAATGTTGGGAAAGATTGAGGGCAATAGAAGAAGGGGACGACAGAGAATGAGATGGCTGGATGTAGTCACTGAAGCAGTAGGTGTGAATTTAAATGGACTCCAGAAGATGGTAGAGGACAGGAAGACCTGGAGGAACATTGTCCATGGGGTCGCGACGGGTCGGACACGACTTCGCAATTAACAACAACACACTTTAACCAAGTTTTAAGGGCTATGGCGTCAGTCCAGCCAAAATCATTCATTTCTTGGGGGTCCTAGGAAGCATTTTGTACTTGAATTGTATTCAAAGCCTGATTAAAAGGCAGGTATGAAAGAAGTAAGATAGTGATATGTTTGCATGTATTAGCTAAATTCTTTTGATAAATTGCCCAGTCAGTGGTCCAGTTGCTGAGACACTTCCAGAAAAGGCCATAGGATAACTTTACCATCATCCCTTTTATTTATTACATTCAGGCAACATCACCTTCCATTTCCACTTATTTATTTCATCAGTTTGTTCCTTTGAGAAATATAATTCAGGAAATTAACATGAAATGAAGAAGGGCAGGTGGATGTGAAGAGATTTTTCCTCTAGCATCCATGGTGACATGAATTCTCCGTTGTGAATTTTAAAGGAATATTTTTCTGGCAAGGAGAAAAAAAATGCAGTCATAGAATTCCAGTTTCCTACAAATCCATGCAACCTAAAATTGCTGAGATGGAGAAACACTGTCACACAGATTGCTGCTTATACATGGAGGTAAGGAAATTGACTGGGGCAAGAGATGGCTGGTTTTATTGTTTAAATGCAGTTTTGAACAGAAAAAAATCTTATTTTTCTCTTCCTGACAGTGACCTTAGACTTTATCAACCTTGGTAGCTTGAAGATGTATAGACTTGCTGGCTTTGCACTATCTTTCAGCTGCCAACACTATTCCTGGCAGTCCTAACACAACATGTGGCATGAAAGCAAGAATTGATCTGTTTTTTTAATCAGAGTTGCTGACACAGAGAGGACTGCTGAGATGTACATGGTGAAATACCGGACAGGAATCCAAGGGACTTATATTCAAATTTTACTCATCTTATTACTCAACACATGGCTTTGTGCCTTAAACAGTACATCTTGCCCTGCTTTGCATAGTCACTATGTGCACAAAAAATAGAAATTGAGGGCCAGGGAGAACCATGTGCTTAGACTGCACTTCTGGAGAAACCAATACTGTTGAATGTAACTGTTTTCTATGCTTTCTTGGAGAATCCATTGGGGCAACATAATTGGAATGCCCAAGATGGCACAACAAAGCCAAAGGATGAGGACACCCATACATCCTGCCTTTACTGACATATTCCATTACAAAATAACCTTGATGGAATATTAGCAGGGAAGTCTTGCTGTGACAACATCTCTTGAACATCTTATCCATTGCACTTGTGATACTTTCATAGATTTGTCCCATAGTAGTAAAATATATCAATCTATTGATTTTAATTATAACTCCTTTTTTTAGTTGTAATGATCTCAGATATTTTATTGGATTTGCTATTTTAAATTATTTAAACTGCTTATTATTCAGAAATCTTTGGCTGTGGGAAATTTTTATTAAATGTTATAAACTTAAAAATAAAAATCGAGGGTTTTTTAGGATCCAAATTTATCTGTCAGAATCTATTGAATGCCAGATCCATGTATCAGACTCAAAATATGAAGAAATTGTATATCAGTTCTAGAATATAAATGTTTTACTTTCTTATTTACTCACCTACGGAGAAGGATAGAATCAAGATCACGTGAAGTGTTAATACCACTTTACAATGCCTTGGTAAGGCCACACTTGGAACACTGCATCCAGTTTTGGTCACTATGATGTAAAAAGATGTTGAAACTGGAAAGACTACAGAGAAGAACAACAAAGATGATTAGGGGACTGGAAGCTAAAACGTATAAGGAACGGTTGCTGGAATTGGGTATGTGTAGTTTAATGAAGAGAAGGACGAGGGACACATATAGCAGCATTCCAATATCTCAGGGACTGCCATAAAGAAGAGGGAGTCAAGCTATTCTCCAAAGTGCCTGAAGGCAGGACAAGAAACAGCAGATGGAAACTAAGCAAGGAGAGAAGCAACCTAGAACTAGGGAGTTAGAACAATTAACCAGTGGAACAACCTGCCTCCAGAAGTGGTAAATGCTCCAACACTGGAAGTTTTTAAGAAGAGACTGGATGGCCATTTGTCTGAAATGGTATAGGGTTTCCTGCCTGAGCAGGGGGTTGGACAAGATGACCTCCAAGGTCCCTTCCAACTTTATTAATAATAATATTATTGTTGTTGTTAATCATCGCAATCAGCCAGATGTTCAGACTGGATTTGACATTTTTGTCTACCTATCGAGTCCTTACCAAGGACCTGGGATAGGCAGATGTGGATGTTTAAATTGATGGTATTACAGATATCGTTGCAGGATGGAAGCAGTTCCTAGTAAGGCTGCCTTTTGCAATTGACTGATGGCGAATTTGTCAATACCAATGTTGTTCAAGTAGTGCTCCAGTTGTTTTGGGATTGCACCCAAGGCACCTATTATTATTGGTACTACCCTTGTTTGCCTTTGCCACAGTCGTTCTATTTCTATTAGTAGGTCTTTGTATTTTGTTATCTTCTCCAGTTCTTTCTCATCTGTTCTGCTGTCTCCAGGCACTGCCATGTCCACTATCCAGACTTTTTTGTCTTTCTTATCGACAATTGTTAAGTCCGGGAGTTATGTGGCAGGTGCTTGTTTGTTTGTATTCTAAAGTCCCAGAGCAATTTAACATTTTCATTTGCTATGATTTTCTCTATTTTATGATCTCACCAGTTCTTGCTTGCAGGCAAATTATATTTCTTGCAAATCTTCCAATGCACCATTGTTGCTACTTTGTCATGCTGCTGCTTGTAGTCAGTCTGCGCGATCTTCTTGCAGCAGCTTACCAGGTGATCCACTGGTAGGCTGCTGCAAGAAGATCACACAGACTTGACTACAGTCAATGGTGATATTATTATTATTATTATTATGTGCTGTTTTATATTTAAGTCATTCTAGAAGTGTCCCCAATTCCTGTAAAAATAATCACAGGTATCACAGATGGACTAGAATTTTAAAAAAGACATTTCAGAACCTCTTTAAAAAGAATTTATTTCATACAGAAAAAAGACAGATATTATTCATATAATAGGAAAACAGAGAAAGATACCAAGGACAATATCAGGAAAACTAAGGTGTTGGGAAACCCAGATATCAGTTTTGCTATATTGCAATGCCATTTATAATTGTTGTTAAATTGTATACCTTGGCATTATTACAAATCAAGGTAAAATACGAACAATCCAAACAGTTTGCCAAATAAATCCAGTCTAATCTTGCCTTAAAGCAATATACAAGCAAAACAAATTTACTCTTGCCCTCTAGACTGCACCCAAGCCACAGCAAGCCAAAAATGAATTTATAATATGAAAGAAAGCCAGGCAGAATCATCAGGCTTAGTGTTCTTGTTTTAACTGAACTGGTACTAGCTTGGGAAAGTCTGGCCTAGTGAAGCTACTCCCAGGTTGGTTCCAAATTGAGAAGAGGAAAGATGTGTCCCTCAACAAGTGACCTTTCCCCATTGCTACAACCTTATGGCAAATGAAACACATTTTCCATTACTATTCCTTAGTCAGAAAAACAACAACACAACTTCATTTGCAGATAGTACCAAAAGTTATAACGAAATCATAAACTTGTATCTGAAAGACAGCCACTTAAATCAGGCTTGCTTGAAAACCAATGCTATCGAAACTTAATCATATTTGAGAAAAAATGTTTAGGATGGGAACAATCAGGAGAAAAATGAAGTGGTTTATTAACAATGGATTACTCAAAACGTACCATAGCTGGGTGCATTCAGACCATACTTTATGAACAAAACTTTTCTTCTTAGTCCAAAAAGCTGCCCCAAACCTACAATGTGCCAGAATGATCTTTGCCTTATGACTTCAGTTTTTCCTGTCATATGTTCCTTACTATCATGATTTATCATGATTCCTTTCCATGGGAAAGGAATCAGTAAGATGAAAGAATAGATAAATAAGAACTAAAGACAACAGGTCCAAAACCAATGCTTGCAGAATGAAATCTGGTTTACACTAAAGCAGAATATAGCAATAATGGGGTCAGGAAGAAGACAGAATGGACAGAAAATGCAGATGGTGTTAGCTGTTTCAAAAGCACACATACACAAACAGAAAAACAAAACATCTAGCAGGGATGGATAAGCATTCTTTCCTACTGTGCTTTTAAAATGCATAAAGGTTTGTATATATGCATGATTATTTTTAATATACAATGTTCACAACTGGACTGTGCTACCCACAGCTTGAATTGACGTAATCCACTGTATGATCCTTCTCCATTTCATCTATAGAGTGGACCTTAAATACTTCTTTGCAGATTTTTACAAGCCACAGAGAGGAAGAAGAGATCAGTTGTGTCTCTAGTGTTAGCCTTGTGACCACTTCTCCTGCAGTGCAGGTGCCTATATTTTCCCATAAGATAAAATTCTTTTCACTACAGCAAAGATGCCCAGTAACTAGCAAGTAAGCAGTTACATGGTCTAGGCTAGACATATAATGCTTTTAGCAACTATTTCATCTTATTTGAGGAGACCACAGCCTAATTTCGTTGGCTTTCTAAATGTCGTAGACCAGTGTTGCTCAGCCTTGGCAACTCTAAAATGTGTATCCTGTACTTCAGCTGGCAGGGGAATTCTGGGAGTTGAAGGCCATACATCTTAGAGTTGCAAAGTTCAGAAACATTTAGACTGTTAACTGTTTTAACCCTCTTCAGACAAAACTACATAACTATTTTGGTTGGGAAATAGTGAGAATTATTCTCCAATATACCAAGAAGATATTAGGTTCGAAAATGCTAAAGGATATTATATACAATGCTTTAAAGCTGCACAACAACGAAGTGTACTAATATATATTGGAGTGGAAAGTAGAGCCATGCAAGCCTATGGTTTATTTTAATCATGGTAAGCTGAATAAGCAAAAATGGCTGGGTACACATACAATACTCAGCAATAAACTACAAGTTGCAAAGCACAGTTTATTAGATTAAAAAAAAGCGAGAGATAAAATCAAATTCTGGCTTGCTGCTATATAAATCCAGCCAGGTATGTTGGAAAACATTAATAAAATGCAATTTGTTAATCAGTGTAATCATTCATTGGTTCTTCAATAACTTGGAAGTTCACAATTACATTGGGTTTTCAGTAATTTAAGCAAGGATTCCTGCCTATCACCTATTACCAGAGACCACTTTTATACGTCAAGGTCTGCATCTTGAACTACTTGGACTCTAAATATCTGAGTTATGGTATAACTAAAGTTCTCAAGAACATACAGAATGTTCACATGGAAGTGACAATATTTCAGTGGAAAAGTCTAAGAAAAAGCAGATAGGTATGGCCAGTTAATTGAAGGTCCCACAAATAAAGACATCAATAGATGTTTTCCAGAGGATCTTTTGTATCCTATCTTGTTCTTTCCTAAAAAGAGCACAGGAAGCATGGATTACATATTTATTTTAAAGAGACTAGTACACTAATATTAAAATGTAATAAAACTTCATAGTTTAAAAAAAAACTATCCCAAATTTGAAGTGTAGAAGAGTTATTTTAGAATTGACAATCTTCTAATTAAAATGTAGCTATAGGGGAAGCTTGAGTTACAGAATACAACTATGCTTAAAAAAAAAAAAATCCCGACAGCACCTTAAATCATACTGAGTTGAACAATATTGGAAATTTAAGTTCAGAAACACTGGGAAACAAGATTCCCTCCTCATCTCTATTCAGAAGTCCAGGTTAATCACAACCATCCAGAAAGGAACAGCAATATAAGCATGAAGGTTATTGATAAACTTTCCCAAGGCAATATTCTGAGTAGGCATAAAAGTCACTTAGTCATTGACTGCATTCACACACTGTGCTCAGCCATTATATGTTTAGCTACATTTTATTGAATAAATCACAATTAGAACTTTGTATATCAAGTTACAAACCAGGATCTGCAAACTAAATTTGGCTGAATATACTAAACTGAAACTAAGCAAATTGTGAGGGCCAGAATAATCAAGATCAGAGGTCAAAATCCCAAGATCAGAAGGACCATAACATCAGTGGAAGAACATCAATGAACAAATGCATTCCACCCCTTCCACTGAGACAAACCTGCTCTCAGGGATGTAGGGTTTGAACTTTGGGAATGCTACAATGCTGCAGTTACTGATTATCTGCTATATTATTGCCTTTTTAGTATCTGTAATAAAAATGTTTTATCAAACATCAATCTCCTTGAATCCCTACTGCCAACTTTCAAGATTGAGGAACTGTTGGGTGAAAAGCTTCATTTTTTTTTTAATTTAGCAAATTTACACATTGTCCATCTCACTCTGAAAAGCAATTATATATGATTTAGTGCAATGGATGAACCATATCAGCTTTTTCCATCACCCTGAAAATCCACTGCATTCCTACAGTATTGAATTTTAACCATCCATGTCCATGTCTTTTCTTTTGATGATGCATTTTTTTACTGGCAATGTATAGTTGGCTATTCTAGTTGGGAATCATTATCACTATCACTAGTTGGAGCTGCTGCACAGAATTAGAATAATTAGGAGAGTGGGAAGGATCCATCTCCATTATTAATTTGAGAGCAGATATTTGCAAGGGAAAACCTGCTCTATGTTCTCTTTGCAAATCCAAATAAAATTTGAACTGAAGAACAGCCCTGACTGGTGTGCATACATTAACTGCAATACTGGTGGCCAGCTGTTGAGAATTAATCTTTGCTTTTTTTTAGATCTTGCTGGAAGGCAGTATAAACTCAGCTCACTTGTTTAAAATTATAGAAGAAAAAAAGGCATGTAATCCTAAAATTACAGTCTTATAACACTGTCAGTATGAAAAAAATCTATATAGAGCCTTTTTAGAATGTCACTTTTGATTTGCAATTTTTCTTATTTGTTTGATATGATCAAAGTCACTGGTTAGATAAACCTGAGACCTAATCTAATCTGCTGTACCAGATCATTGGTTTGATTTTGTTTTTTTAAAAAACAATATATTGTATGAATCCAGTCTAATGGGCTATTTCATAACTTAGCATACTTATCCAGAAAATTTATTATAAACAAATACCTAATCTTTATATGCTATGTAAATATAAATATTGGTTAGAATGATATATATACCAATGTTTTGTAATATTGCCAAAAGTTTGGAAGAATTGAAGGAAAACAAAGTTGTTTCTTTCCAGATAAAAATTGGAAATGTTGGGAATATCTGAAATCCATGCAATATAAGATGTTCTTTAAAAAAAAACACATAAAGAACATCATTTATAATTGAACATATGGAATTGTAGTATTTGGCTTAAGAAAGTTACTAAGAAATTTTAAGCAAATGTATTCAAAGTCAAGACTCCTAATTCCATGAACTTACTATATCTCAAGTAAGAGATCATATGAAAACAGTCTTGAAACCTTTTCTTATTTTTGTACAAAATATCTAACTCACATGCAAAAGAATCAACAGTTGCAGATTATTTGTTTCTGATTATTTCCAAACCAAAACCACTGCATATCAGCAAACAACTCACAATTTCTAACTAAAGAGGTTTGAATTCTACCAAACAGATGGCAGCACTCAAAGTATAGAAATGCATTTAGATAACAGCTCTCCAGACATTTTAGCTATCAATTCCTGTTAACTTCAACTAATCTGGCAATAATATCTGAAAGTTGCTTATCCTGGTCTATTATATACATAGGAATAATCATATTCCAATTTTGTGCATTCTTTTACATAAAAATATTCATACTACACTCTGAATAAATCCTCTATTTCACTCATTTCAAGAGAAAATATTTTATAAGTTTCTTTTGCTACTCACATTCCTCAATCATTTTCTATTTTTATCTTGGGGGGGGGATCACCCAGTGACCAGCTCAGCCCATTCTTTCTGTTATATCTCCCCTGTAGCCCCCTCATCTGTATTTTTAATTTCCATTGACATCAGTTGGTCCTTGGCTGATTGTTTTCTCTAGATTGTATTCTTATTATTTGAAATAATATTTTCTGTTTCTCTAAAATATGGCATTTATACTACTATGAACAAGAAACACACAGTATATGCATGAAAAATTAATAAAACACCAGATCAATAGTCTTCCTTCTTTCTTACAAACATTTCCACAATACCAGCCAAGTCCAAACACTCCTATTTCTTTCTCCTTTTAATATTATACAACTTGATTGTATAAGAAAGATACATCAGATTTTTTTTCGAGACAGTAGTATATCTTTTAGGACAGACTAGGGAATGAACGGGCTCCTTCTTTTTAGAAAGTCATTTATCCCATGGTGCTCTTTCACTCTCAAATTTGGTTTTGTTTCTGCCTTCAAAGAGATGAGCATGGCTCTGGTTTTCTTTTTTATAGGTGCATTTTGATTTAAGCTCAGAAACAGCATGACAGTACAGACAGATCTCATTTAAGGATTGCTCTAATTAGTATATTATGGTGTGAAAAAGTAACTTTATGAGCAGTCCTTGCAGTTATGGCTATTGGAATGTCCCCATGGTCATATGATTGAGTTCCAGGTGCTTTACAACTGGTTGGCATTTACAACCGTTGCAACCTGCTGTCATGTGATCACCACTTGCATACTTCACAGGGAGCTTCTGATAAACAGTTAATGGAGAAGCTGGCAGTAAAATCACAAGTTGTAGTGCTATAATATCTCACTTGACTGCATCATTTAGCAATGAAATTGCTAGCTAGTCCTGACTGTGGTTGTTAAGTGAAGACTACTTGTATTTCTTTTCTGTGCCATCAATATGCTGACTAAAGTATTAACTGTTTTTTAGCATAAATCTGCATCCATAATGTGGGGGATGGCTAAGCTATATCAGGAAAAGGATTTACTGGAATAATGATAGTAATCTACCTGTTAAAATGTATTCCAGTTCAGCTATTCTCAGTAGATACCTCCAGGCCTGCTCTTCTGGCCTGTATAATCTTTGCAAGCTGGAACATTACATGTGTATAAGCCAACATGTCTGAGGAATATTTGATTAGGAAGGGGATTTTAGTACCATCCAAAGCCATGGGATTTGAGACAGCTATGACAAACTTGCCCTATTGATGCTAACGTTCTAAAACATAAACTGGAAACAATTACATCTTGATCAATAGGGGTTTGGATTTTTCTAATCCAAATAATCTAGAAGAAACAAAATGGAGAGGATAAAAAGTTCTCCATGATCAGATTGAATTATATGTAAGTAACTGTATACTCCATTCAGAAGCTCAATATTCAGTAGAAGGCAATGGCTGGCCCCACAGACTCCATTAAGCCATGGTTTGTTCAATGACGCTTTACTGAACTATACCTGTGACAAGATTTGCACATATTACGCTATAAATCATAATTTACAAATCACATTGGTTGGCTTCATCCAACATGTTTATCCCCCAAATAAACAAAAGAGCTATAATGACTTACTGCAATATGTGAATCCAGGCATATTACAGTAGCTTAATAGGCGCTATCAAAAAAATAATAATTTGAATCCTAATTAGAAAAACATATGGTCATTTACTAAAGCAAGACTGGAAATTCTTGACTTATATTCTTCAAACTGACCAACTTCAACTTTAGCAGAAAAAACTATTCCGCTCAAAGCTGAAGAAGCTTCTTGGATGAGAAGCGGAACCCCCCCCCCCGAAAGTCCAGTTGCCTCTTGAAAATGCAAGAGAAAGTCTTTCCATGTTTTAGGTTAGGGTAAAGGAGAATATCTCAAGAACAGTTCAGCAACCGCTGCCTCCTGGAATGCTAAAAAGCAGCCAAGGATCACACATCTTTACAACACAGAATACTATGCAAATAAAGTAGTGTTTGTTGGATTCAGCATTTCTACAGCGTTCTATCAACTTGAGAGAAAGAAAAACAAATGTCCACCTTAATGCAGCTTTCAAATCATAGAAAGCCAAAGAAAATGTGCTGCCACTTGCTCTTCATATTCTGGTATAAAGAGCTGGTGTATCACAGGCAGTGTATATAGATGAAAATAAGAGATTTGCAAGAGCATAGAGGAATAGCAAAGTTAATTCTTGATATTCTTTCCAAAAACTGTTTTTTTTAATGCTGGATCAAGATAATCATCAAAGAAATGCTGGAATATACAGGAAATGGTTCCTCCATCTGCTAAACAGACTGAATTCAGAGTAGCTGACCATAACTTGTATAAGGCTCGTTCAGATACAATTCACTTAGGCTAAAAGCCCTGCTTATTTGGCAATCAAGTAAAATCATTTATATTTTGCAAGTTATGATTAGTTCTTATTTCCAATTATTCCCATCTATTATTTGTCCACTTCTTTTTGAAAATTCTTTTTGACAGTTTTGCTGCACAACTGCAGTCTTTCTGCTGAGCTTCTCTGGTTCCACACAGCCCAAGTTATTACCAGACCATACAACAGAGCCTAGTTGCCTATAGCTGTTTCCATGTCCAAATGTCATATATAACTCAATCATTGGGAGCGTGAGCACTCTGTAGCCATCCTTGATGTAAGAACATCATCAGGTTCTTGCATGATTAGAGCTTTTAAACATTCTGGAATCCCACATCCTCAAAGAATCACAGATCAGGAGGCAGATAAGAATCACAACAGCGACAATAAATTGCTGTGATAACTTAGCAATTTTCCCCAAGGATCAAAGCAGAAAGTTTGGGTAGCCATAGTTTATCTGAAATTCCAGCTAAAAAACTACCTGCTGCCTCTTCTAGTCTTCTGAAGCACTTCAGAACAGCAGGACATTCATTTAAATTTCTGCTAAAGGTTCCAGCTGCCTCCATATTTCTTCTACGGTTCTCCTTCTGTTGAGACAGCAATTATTTAAAATCTTCCTTCTCCATTAAAAAAAAATGTGAAAGTTTAAATAAACAAAAAATCAAAGCAGGTTTTTCAACAATGTGATTTGTTGAATTTGAGTCTAATTTACCTACACTAGAACACTGTTGTTAGGTAAGAAAATTTATCAGTGTAACTGTGTTAGCTATTATTATTTATAAAAAAGAAAAAATAATTCAGATTCACTAAAGCTGGAGGATTGGGAGACGTAAGACAAATAAGAGGTAAGAACTCATATACTCCAATGGAAAAGACTTGAAATATTTGCAGTTTCACATTGCAAGTCACTTGATAAAAAGTCTTGGTCTATTCCTTACTTCTCCCATAAAAAAATTTCTAGTACTGGACATGAATAACTATCAATATTGCTGGTAAATACATGCACATTTTATGATGGCTATGCAACCCAAATGGGGCTAAGAGAAATAAGTGGAAAATTATCAGCATGTGACAATACCAAAATTTGCAAAAACAGAGAAAAATAATTAGGAATACAATCCAAAAGCAGTAACTTCCTCCCTTCAAAAAAAGAAAATTAAAAAGAAAATCAATGTCAGAACATGCATAGGTGCTCCAACATACTATTAAAGGAAACAGTTCAAAGGAAGGGAAAAATAACTTGAGTTATCTCTGAACGATGATATGGCTACATGGTCTAGGAATAAATTATGCTGCAATATGGTGTTGCAGGCACCACTTGTAATTAGACGATTGCAAATCAAGCCTCAAAGTTTTGAGAGGCATGGAAGAGACAGACAAATCTTAAGAATTGGCCTCAGATGCAGTAAGATTTTTTTCTGCTGCTAAGGCTACTGAGGAGCTTAAGATGCAGGCACAACAACTCCTTATTCCAATGCTAGTCTCTTAGGTGAGCATGGCACATAGTTCTAACAATATGATCAGGCCACAGGTTCAAAATCCAAAGCTGATAAAAGAATTTTTCCAAGGGAATTGCCAAAAAGATGCTTCTGTTGATTCAGATTGTCACATTTATAGTATAACTGCACAATGTAGATGATGCTGTAGGACAAGGAAGGGGATTTTGAAATACCTTCTAGGGAGGTATGATAAATGCATAAGCCTGGAATCTTTCTTACCAGAAAAGGTCTGAGATTTCTTTTTCCCAAATGAAAAAAATTAGAATAGTTTGCTATTTTACTATCTAAAATTGTTTTTGCTATGGGTGCTGCTAAACTGAAGTGGCAAAAGCTCAAAGTGCCTCAATTTGTCTGCAGATCAAGTGTAAATATTGTTGAATGGGTTGAACTCAGTTCCCTCTAAAAATAGATTTTAGAATGGACAAAACAGATATAAAGTCAAAGGATAAGTCCAAGTACTTCATACTGGCCAATTTTCATACTTGTTTGGATGATAGCAGGTGCAAAACCAGCCATTAAACTTTATGAGTTTTCTGATGTCTTACAAGATGAGAGGCAGCCCCAAACCCTTTGCCACAGCTGGCGCATTTGAAGGGTTTCTCTCCTGAATGCGTAGCACGGTGACGCTCAAGGTGTGCATAACGGGTGAACCCCTTTCCACAGTCTCTGCAAGAGAAGGGCTTGTCCCCACTATGGATGCCCTGATGGCGCTGGAGATGGGCACTGCGGGTGAAACACTTGCCACAACGTGTGCAGCGGAAAGGACGTTCTCCGGTGTGAGTTCCTTGGTGGCGAGTAACATGAGCACTGCGGGTGAAAGCTTTGCCGCAAACACCACATTCATAGGGACGCTCTCCAGTGTGAGTGCTGTGGTGGCGGGTCAGGTGAGAATTGCGCCCAAAGGCTTTGCCACAGTAGGTGCACTTGTAGGGTCGCTCCCCAGAATGGGTCTCCTGATGGCGGGCCAGGTGGGCACTGCGGGCAAAAGTCTTCCCACAGTAGCTGCAGCTAAAGGGACGGTCTTCCTCTGGCACTTGCTGTCCCAGGCGCTTCCCACCTAAAGGGCGCTGCAGACCAGAGTGGGTAGCTAAATGCCTAGTAAGGTGTGAGTTTCGCCGGAAACCTTTCCCACAGTAAGGGCAAGTGTGGGACTTTTCCCCCATGGTTGCCAGTCTTGCGAGAGTGGTGGTGGTAGGAAAAAGAAGACCCTTTCTTGACACTCTTCAGGCTAGCTCTTCTGACACGAGGCTAAAGTGCTCTACCTCAAAAGACTCCTTCAACCCCTGAACTGAGTTATCGGTTATGATTTTCTGGCTTTTGTCTTTCTTCTAAAGCTTGATAAACATCTCTGAGATCCTGGGAAATAACTTTGCCTTCAGAACCTGCTGGGGAGAAAAACAGAATTTCAAAAAGAAAAAAGAAAGAAAACACAAGCTCCTGCCAAAAGCTGAGTAATTTGGGTGGAAAAGAAACAATGTAATACAAATGAAGTTTAAAAATATATTCTATTCTTATCTGCTCTGTAATTCACATATGCATAATCCAGATGTTTCTTTTTAAAAATAAGTTATAATGATGCTGTATGTTCAGAATATTCTCTCTTTGAGAATGAAAATTCTGTAAATTAAAAATAATGATTAGTATCAATATAAATAGTCCCAATTATTTGTTTTTACTGGTTGGATCCAGATTTAGCTATGCCTAGCGTAGGCTCGTTGAAATCAGTGGGATCCATGTCTGAGGTGTCCTCTTGAGTCTAATAAATTTATTCTAAGCATGACTAAGTCTGGAGTCAAGCCAGTGAAATTTAGATGTATTAATCTGTAGTGGTGCATCTTTCATTCAATTCACTTTTCTTCTTTCAAAATGACAGGTTTCCAAATCAGTTTATAATTTAAATATACACAAAGTAAACAAGACTTTGACTGCATAAAGATCATATGCCAACTTCTTCTGATCCTGATCATTTGTATAGGCTACTGTCCTTAACACACTTGCCTGACAGCAAGGGTAAGGTATTTATGGTCCAATTTTGCCTAAAAGCTGCTCCCAATGATGATGGAGGTTTGGAATTGTAATTCAGACAACCTGATATGCCAAATAGTTTTCTACTCCATCTGAAAATAAAATCCTCTGAATGATCGGATGGGCTTTCTTTTTAAGTAAACCTATAGGATTCTATGCAGTTTTCCCTAAGAGGGAAAAAGGAAAAAAGCATTTATCAACTTCATTGGATGAGGGTATAAGAATGTAATTAATACGAGTAGCTGATTGCATTAGTATGTTTTCTGAGAGCAAATTAGTTCTAAATGTATTTGCTATAATTACTTTCTGCATCTTAAATGGAGGAAATCAGGAAATCATTTTCGAAGAAGTTTTGATATTGGCTATATGTTATGTTGCCAGCATTTCAATCAAAATTTTAGAAGAGCAATATTATTTTTTTATTATGTATTGGAGAAAATGTATTTTTTTAAAAGAAATATATTTTGGATTTCTTTTGAAAAGATATTGAAAATTATGTTCCCTTAAGGTATTTGCAATACTAGCCTCTGGAATATTGCACTGTTACCATTAATTTGGCACCACTTTCTTTGTAGTTATATCTCTATTGTTGTTTTTTTTACATGATACAGTATTGTTAAGAGATATAAGTTCAATAGATACCTGTTTTATTTTACATTGCAAAGTTTTCAGATAGAAAAATGTGTACCTGAGAATCTAGAACATTGCTCATTTGATTAATATTTAACACTTATTTGTATAATTTATATACCAACATTCTGCTCCTAGAGCATTCAATAATATTGCTTAGACAGTCTTAACCTGACTTCAGTACTTTCCTTCTGTATATAGTTATATGAGCAAAAGCATTTCTTAACAAATTTGATCTAGTGGTTAAGACACCAGGCCAGAAATTGGGAAACCCTTAATTTTAGTCTTGTTTTAGGCATGAAAGCTGGCTGAGTGACTTTGAGCTGGTCACCCTGTCTTAGCCCAATCCATCTCATATGGTTGTTGTTGTGGGGGAAATAGGATGAAGGGGTATCCTCCTCCTTGAATTATTTATAAAAATAATAAAGGTTTGATATACAAATAAAATAAACATAATATAAATTAAATTTTACATGGCTAATAGGAAAAGAATGTGGAAAAATTAAATGAAACATTTCTATGAACAAGAAATGAAACATTTCTATGAACCCTTACAAAGAAATCAGTGTTTGTATTTTCTAGGTTTGCGTTATAGCTACAACCTAGACGAAACAGGTAACAGCCAATATTGTCCATTACGCTACACAAGTATAGTAATGAATCGCGCTCAGTATCAATCATGCTCCCGTCGCAGTAATAGATAAAATAAAGAGAGAGAAAAAGCCGTAAGAGAAATATAGACAGGACTTTCCACGGCAGATCCTCCCCGCTGCGAACTACTCTGGGAGACGAACAGTGAATGGAGGTGGTGGATGGAGCTGCTCTTCTTACAGGCGTTCGCCCATAAATGGATGTTTTTATGCGTTACGTGCTGCCCGTCCTTGTCCCCATAAATCGGTCTCCACCTTGGGTCTGTCTGCAGAATCTCACCGATTCATTCTTATTGAAGGAATCCAAGCGGGGTTTGCACGCCTTTGCCAACCGCAGGCCTGGGAAAGAGCCACTCCCGTGCCCGTGTGTAGGCAGTGGCGGGTTCAAGCACAGGAAAGCACCCCTCGAGTCTATCCTGTCTCCCGCCTCCGCTTTACTTGACAGCTCCAGCTCTATGGTTTTAACCCTCTTCCTGCCAACCAGTAAGCCACGCCAATTTCCCATAGAAGCCACTAAGCTGGAAATGAAAAAAGCGAAGAAATCACACAGGAGATTTGGAAAATGCAGCCGTATTTTGATTGTATTAGTGAATAGAGAGAATAGAGAGAAATGAAACCCAGCTTTCATCAAAAGGATAATCAACGAATATAACAATTGTTGTTTGGATTAGTTCTTGCCAGAACATAAGAAAGCTTCAAAAACTTAACATCCCGTCTACTGTAGATATTGGAAAATCCTATACGTTTGCTTGTTGCTGCTATTTAAATCAACGCATAAAAATGTTTAATTTTGTAATTCTTATACAAATATGGAAGTACCCATAAGCCTTAGTAATTCGTTTACTGTTGCTTTGTCAGAAGCATTTTGCATTGAACTATGGACAATATGGGGTGTGTGCAACCATCTCCAAATCAAATAATTCTAGGAATTGGTTCTTTCAGTCTGTAGGAAATACTGTTTTTCCCTAGCAGTGTTATCAGCACCCAATCCAATTGCTTTGTTATAAATTGTTTTTCATAAATTGATTTTGAAAAGTCATATATATTTATACACAAAACATGGTAGACGTTCTTCGCAACAGAAATATGAAGATTTTTACTTTCTATCTGCACAATACTTAACAAATTACAGGTATTATTTTATTGTTATCTTTTCTATTAGAAGCATCAATTGACACAGAAATGCATAATGCCTATTAAAAACTATATTCAACATATTCAAATTATACAATCTTCTAGAGATATCCATAGTTTCAGCATGTTTCTTTGCAAAAGGAAAGGCTTTGTATGCAACAAAGTATGTGTAATGGTGATGGGTGATAATGCAAGAGTCATGATTTGTACAGAAAACAAACTATCCATGACTGCAAATGTGAAGGTTTTCCCACAGTAGATGTCATTCCCAAACAGGTAGATGTTTGTTTGTGTACCATTTGAGTAAAGTTAGCAGGGGACTAAATTTTGTAAGTACTCCGAGTATTTGCCATATCTGAATAGGAATAGGAAAACGACTTTTTTGCTTTGGGTAAACATGTGTGCTACGATCCCAGATAATTGTAATTATTTAATCATGATTAAGGAAATCTTTACTGTACATGAACTCTGTCACTTTTGCTCAGTTGTGAGACAGATCGATGTATCCTTTTTTTAGACAACCTAATCTTCCCATTCTGAACTCTCTACAATTCTCATAATTTATCTCCAGTATGCTCAATAGTTATGATTCAACAATTTGGGAAACTATAAACTGGGAAAGATAGTTGCATTCTAAATGAGACAACGCTTGCTTATAATATTGAATTTACCTTTGCCCTGATTTTATGACTTTTTGTCACAAGTTGCAATTTTGCTTTTTCAAAAAAGTATGTGTGTGTGTGTGCGTGTGTGTGTGTGTGTCTTTGGTTATTCGGGTTTTCTCCCGCGTAAAATTGGAAGTGTCATGGCATCGTTTTGACGAAGTCCCATTCGTCATCTTCAGGCTGGTGTTTTCGGCTTCGTGCTTCTAGGAGCAATGTGTGATCGTGACTATTTCTTCCTTTTAACTGCCAGTGGGAGTATGAACTGATTGGGTGGGAGCTTGGCTGTGTTCTGATTGGGTGGAGGTTTGTTCTGATTGGTTAGGGGCTTGGCTGTGCTCTGATTGGATGGGGGGTTGGCTGTGCTCTGATTGGATGGGGGAGTGTTCTGTTTGGGTGGGGGCTTTGTTGTGCTCAGGTTAGTCTGAGTTGCAGGGGGATTTGAGATGGTGAGCTGCGTTACTGTTGTTTGGCTTTGCGTTCGTGGTCGTGCCTCATCTTCATGGTGGGTGTCAGTTTGCTTCATGTATGGATTGGAGGGGTTTAAAGTGGCTAATGATGCAGCTGTGGTCTGGCTTCTGGTTTGTGGTCGTGCCTCATCATCGGTGTGGGTTTGCTTTTTGCGTGGATGTGTGGTGGTGACATCGTGTGTGGTTTTCGTGAGTTTGGGTCTGGTGTCATACTTTGTGTTAGGGACTCATTTGTCAAAAGGGTGGGTTTTCAAATGGCTGGTAGGCAGGATGTATCATCTCATTTGTTCATGCTATGTGGGCGTTTTTCTATCTCGATGGCTTCTCTGATTATTCTGTTATTAAAGTGTTCAGTTTTGGCAATAGTTCTGGTATTTTTAAAGTCAATTTCATGTCCTGTGGCTTTAAGGTATTGGACCAGGGAAGAAGTTGGTCCCTCTTTTTTGACTGAGTTTTTGTGTTCTTCAATGCGTGCACTTATTCTTCTGTTGGTTGTCCGATGTATGTGGTGGGGCAAGCGGTGCATGGGATTTCATATACTCCTTGATTTTCTAACTCAATTTTGTCTTTGGGGTTTCTTAGGATGGTGGATATTTTTCTGTTTGTGCAGAATGCTGTCTTGATGTTGTGTTTGTGAAGGATCTTGCTGATTATTGTAGGGGTTCAGCTGCTGAATTACAACCTAAGAAACTATGACTTCTAGTTTTCCTTTGGAAGCCTGCTGGATGATTTTAGAATAGAATAGAGCTGGAAGGGACCTTGGAGGTCTTTTAGTCCAGCCCCCTGTTCAAGCAGGAGGACCTATACCATCTTAGACAGGTGATTGTCTAGCCTCTTCTTAAAAATCTCCAGGGATTGAGTGCCCATGATTTCTGGAGGCAAGCTGTTTCACTGGTTAATTGTCCTCACTGTCAGGAAGTTTCTCCTTAATTTCAGGTTGCTTCTCTCTTTGATCAGTTTACAACCATTGTTTCTTGTCCTGCCCTCTGGTGCTTTAGTGAATAACATGACCCCCTTTTCTTGGTGGCAGCCCCTCAAATACTGGAATACTGCTATCATGTCTCCCCTATTTCTTCTTTTCTTTAGACTAGCAAACCCAAGTTCTGCATATGTTTTAGTCTCCAGGCCTTTAATTGCCTTAGTTGCTCTTCTCTGAATTTTTTCCAAATTCTCAACATCTTTTTTGTGATATGGTGATCAAAACTGGCTGCAGTATGGTCTTACTAGGGTTTTATAAAGCGGTACTAATACTTCATGTGATATTTATTCTATGCCTATTTCTACAACCCAGCATTGTATTAGCTTTTTTGGCTGCTGCTGCACACTGCTGGCTCATAGTCAAGTGATTGTTCATTAAGACTCCAAGGTCCCTCTTACAGTACTGTTTTTAAGTCAGATCTCGCCCAATCTGTATTTGTACCTTTGGTTTTTCCTGTCTAAATGTAAAACTTTGCTTTTTTCCACACTGAAACTCATTTTGTTGGATAAGGCCCATTGTTCATGTTTGTCAAGATCTTTTTGGATCCTGAGTTTGTCTTCTGGGGTGTTAGCTACTCCTTCAGTTTGGTGTCATCTGCAAACTTGGTGAGTTCCTCTTCAATTCCGTCATCTAAATCATCAATAAATCATTGATGAAGATATTGAAGAGTACTGGTCCTAAGATGGAACCTTATGATACCCCACTGCTTACTTCTCTCCATGTGGATGTAGTGCCATTGAGGACTACTCATTGAGTACGGTTTGCCAGCCAACTAAAGATCCATCTGGGGGTGATGTTGTTTATTCCATCTTTTTCTAGCTTATTAAAGAGTAGGTGGTGGTCTACTTTATCAAATGTCTTGCTGAAATCTAAGTATACTACATCCACAGCATTTCTTTGGTCTACTGGTTTAGTCACTTTATCAAAGAATGAAATAAGATTGGTTTGGCATGATCTGTTTTTAAGAAACCTGTGCTGGCTATTAGTTATAACTTTGTTTGCTTCTAGTTGTTCGCAGATCTGTTTTTTGATTATCTTTTCTAGGATCTTCCCAGGTATTGATGTAAAACTGATTGGTCTGTAGTTTCTTAAGTCTGTTTTTTTCCCTTTCTTGAAGATGGGAACCACATCAGCCCTTTTCAAATCCTCAGGTGTTACAGGATTTATGAAAGGTGTGGTACAATGGTTCTGAGATAGTATCTGCCAGTTCCTTCAGAACTCTGGGATGTATTGGGTCCCAGTGATTTATATTTGTCAAAGTCAAATAGGTGTTTTCTTACCATTTTCTTGCTTATTTTAATTTTTGTTTCTAGTTTGTCTTTTGCAGTGAGTTTTTTGGTATGTTTTTTTGGTATAGTTACTTTTTGTGTGAAGACTGATGCAAAGTATGAGTTAAGCTGCTCTGCTTTCTTCCTGTTATTTCCTTGTCTTCTTCTCTCTTTAGTGAACCTACAGTTTCCTTGATTTTTTTCTTGTTGTTAATATTTGGAAGAAACATTTTTTTATTATCCGTGATTTCTCTTGCAACCCTTTGTTTGTTCTGAGCCTTTGCTTTCCTGACTTCATCTTTGCATGTTCTGGCTGTCTGCTGATAATCGGCCTAAGTTATGTGCCCCTCTTTCCATTTTTTGTATTTGTCCTTTTTGTCTTTCAGTTTGTCAGAGAGATCTTTGTGCAACCATGTTGGTTTTTTCTTGAATGTCTTGTTTTTCTTTTTTCAGTGCATTGTGCTGGTCTGGGCTTTTATGTTTGCATTTTTTCAGGATTTCCCACGCTTCTTGGGTTGTTTTCCCCTTTAGGATTTCCATCCATGGGATCTTTCCTAGGTTCTCTCTGAGTTTGTTAAAGTCAGCTTTTTTGAAGTTTAAGACACTGGTTGGGTTGTTTTCTATTGCTAGTGTTTGTATTATATTAAATTTCAGTACGACATGGTCACTTTCACCTAAGGTTCTGGCAACTTTAACTCTCTCTCTCACTTCTTCTCTATTAGTAAGAATTAAGTCCAGTATAGCTTTACATCTAATTCCCTCCTCCACCTTTTGGGTGACAAAGTTGTCGGCTAGGTTGGTTAGGAATCTGTTTGATCTCCCGCTCACTGCAGTTTGTCTCCCAGTTGATACCTGGATAGTTGAAGTCTCCAGTTATTACTGTGGTATGCTTCCTACATATATTTGTTAACTGGTGGGCAAAGAGTTCATCTA